AAATCGATCGTATGCTTCTTTTGTCCAGTCATTTAAATACTACTTATTCAAACTACTATATTCAAACTAACATAACTGATCACGTTGAGTGAGTCAGATTTCATCAGCAGGTTAGTGCCAGTGCAATGGTACTAGCGGTCAAACCTTAATCTAAAGTGAACAATGACTTGATGTTGTGTATCGTGCTACGTTTCTCATTCGGGGGTTTCCAGAAACATGTTGCTAGACGATTGCGGATATTTGATGTGATATAACTAAGTATTGCAAATCGCGGCGCTCGTGTACTTTACTCTCCGCGCGCAATAATCAAAAACTGCGGAACACAATTAATGAGCGATCATGATGCAACTCACTTATTGCTCAAATTTTAATAGTTTTCGATAATCATGTTCTCGGAGAACACTGTCAAAAGAGCGATGTAGCCGTCCGAATGAATTGTGTCAAATACACGCGGAGGCTTTTTGCCATAGACAGTGCAATCTGTTGTGTTTACATTCAGAGTCACTCTGAGTAAAAGTTGGTTCCTTTGGCTCAAACTTATGACATGAGTTGCAAAAGCAATGGCTTGAACAATAAACCTTAACCCCTGCCACTCCTGTTGCTTCTCCGGCTCACGTGCCCCATTGGCAGATTCCTCACCGATCATTCGCCAGTGGTTACCGTGGTTCAATCGGCCATCCAATCCGTTCTCGGATCGAATGAGATTACCAGACGCGGTCACTCGTCTGCAACCACAACCGTCTCCGGTGCACAAAATCGTCACGCACTAGCTCACGACTACACGATCGATCAGGTATATATAGTGTACACTTGTTATCAACATTTTTTCCCTCTGTCCTCAAACCGAGCGTGTCTGACTCAATTTGGGAATTTCAGTGAAATTTTGGTGTCTCAATTCCCACAACAATTATCCTCGCAAAACCAGCAGAAACTGCCATCATTTTGATCATCTCGTGTGCATTGATCATGAATGCTATTTTCCCTTTTGGAGTCGATGTCAAAATGCACGTTTTAAACTTGTCGATTCATCATTCCACATCGTGATTGCAATGTAATTCTAAATAAATTAAATTAGTTTTTTGCATACTATTGATAAAATAATTTATTATTATTATTATTATTATTGATTTTGTGAGGTCAAGCATAAAAAACGTAGGGTGTCTACGCTATATTAACATCTTTCGCACGCGTGTGAGTCCAGATTGCGTGCCAAGCAAAATCATGATGTAATGATCTTTATAAAAAATTAAAAAAAGTTCCATGATTTTCTGATAGGTGGAACACTGCCAGGTTGCCCAGACCAAGGCAGGTGAATTTTCTTGGGAAATTCACAATCGGAGCCTTCAGCTAACTAGAGCCTGACTAACAAGACAGCGGTGCGGTGTGTGCGAATCGCAATCCATTAGGGTCAGGTGTCCAGGTCATCGGATCATACGCCCTTTGGACGGGGTTAAACGCCAAAGGTGCCCAACTGAACCGGTGACCATCACCACAACTCAGGTGTGGGGGTGAATGTGGTCCGTACGCCTCTTGCAAAAATATATCGAGGTTCTTAAAACAGAGCGGCTGCTCTACTGTATGCTAATGTGCTTTGCTTTTGTCGAATCCCAGGGGGTAGGATATTTTCGTCACTGCATTGTTTTCCATTTTAATCATATTTTCGTTTTATTAGTACCTGAGAGGTAAAGATTTCCTATTTACCTTTATTTTTCACTAGGTTATTGTGTCAATATACGTAAACAGTTTTTGTTTTTCAGTTTCAGTTTGTACAGCGATTAACCACGCACCCTTGTGCGGTGGTTTCGGTTGCTGTCTTTTGGCTGCCCACTTGGATGAATAATAGGAGAAAGAGAGGAAAGTGTAATAAAGTACAGTCCAACAGAAAATGGAGAATTTCAGTGGTCTAAGGTTGCAAAGAAATTGAGAAATTCTGTCACACTCAGAAGTAGTGACGTTGCGAAAATCTAAGGGTGGGGGCGTGTACGAAACATGTGTTTTCAGGGATATTGGCTTCCCTATCTAGAGAAAACTTGTTTTCCTGTTTCCTTTTGCCGATTTTTTTTCGTAGGAAGAAGACAACGAGTCAGAGGACGACAACGGAACTGATCCGACTCAGCGTTTTCTTCAGATCCCGATGCAAACCGAGGTGACCAGTTCCCGTTCTCCNCGGAAGGCTTATCGGATGCTCTGTCCGACTCAACTGCACCTCGTGCTTCGTCTCGTGTCAGCCGACATCAGCTCCAAGCTGCCATTGCTCAAGCTCAAGGATTTTTGACCGCGGGAGGTTCGGGCGGGAGTAGTCGGGCCCGAGGCTCACCCCAAACTCCGAATTCATCCTTCGAGGTGAGTGTTAAACCCATCGAAACCGGATATCCATGTGACTTGTTATTTCCGCCGATGTTGTCGTTCGCAGACCGGTATATACTTGACTGACCATTGATTATAGCCAAAGTGAAAGCCTGTGTTTCTTCGTGACTCAGCCTTTCGATGGGTAAAAACCGCGAAATTAAGTGTAAACATCCCAACGTTCTCTGGCTTTATAGCCATGTCAATGGATGAGATAATTTTTATCCCAGTTTCCCACCACTATGGCTGAAGTCAATGCACAGTGATACAGTGTATTCATTGATTCAATGCATACAGATGATCATATTCTAAAGGGCATATACCGGACGTGTAATTTGGTGAATGAACTTGAACTGAACTCTAAGTACAAACAGTCGACAGAGATGCCTGAAGCCGGATTATATTTCACTATGCGTGGGTTATGGGATCATCCACGACAAAGAACAGCAAGGGGGTCACTAATTTTTCACCTTTTTCTCAGACCTCATGCACTCAGTCATGAAGTTGCCTTGGCATCACGACAAAGCAAGTTATCCACTTGCCATATAAGTTAATAATGTAAAATCAGTCATGAGGATGGTGTACTGTGAGAACTTGTTCCAGTGCTTTTCTATCAACACTCGGATTTGAAATCCTTATCTGTGTTTAAAATTTCGATACACGGTATTTCTATTCATTCGCCTTTTGACGGTACACTTATTCCCGATTCGATTTAGCCGACCAACTCAACTCGCAACTCTTCCAGTCATACTCGGATCACATCCAGTGCATTGTCTCAAGCTTTGGCCTCCGCCACAAATAGTCTACGCCAAGCTAGTCACGAAACGCCAATGGTCACCGAGACTGCAACCGATTCCGGAGATCTTTGGTCCACACAACTCGCACAACTGGCTGAGATGGGAGTTACCGATCAGCTGGCGGCCAGACAAGCATTAGAAGCCACAAATGGTGATCTGGCCCTTGCAATCCAACTGCTTTTTGGTTGACACTCCCTATCACGTCATTTTGTTTGACTCGGTTTTGTTTTCAGTGATATTGCTCTGTTCACACTACGCGTTCCCTCCCATTCCTTAACTGACTCCTTTATATGGAACTGTTCATTCTCGTGTTTACCAAACCTCCTCCACCTCTAATTTCTAACAAATAAACTAGTAGTATCTTTTCTTTTTCGAATAAATCGATGAGTTCTCACTGTTTTCATTTATTTCCTGTCACTTGAACAGAATACAACTATTTGTGGTCATTCCGCCTGGTCTTATTCCGTTTGTCGCGGATTTATCTGTTCTGATCCTTCCGTGCGCGCGTGCTTACGTGCCTGTCTGCGTGAGTGTGTTCGTGTGTCTGTCTAAAATAATTGCCTCATTCGGTACACCTTCGTTATCACACTATGGTGCACAGTCAGTCAGCCACTAAGCCTGATAGGTGAGCGTTCAATACCAGAGCGGGTTGTTCGGTTTAGTTGTGTCGAGCACAGGGTAAATTCATGCATAATTGACTTGTTTTTGGCAACGTTGCTCCACTGTATAACCTCCTTGAGAAGTCACGATCAAATTTGATCGCAAGAAGTTTGTAATCCAACGAGGTAGATATACACCATCGCTCGTTCCCACTAACCTCCTCACTACACATAGATTATCCGATCTTCCCCACTGAACAATGTTGAAGTAACGTGCAGAGCGGTAAACAAGGGGCATGTGCACTTGCAGCTACCTGTTCATTGCATTTGCTAGCATTGAATTGACCCCCCCACCACGCCCCAGTTGTTTGTATGTGGTGTGTCTATACGATATCGATTCCCCTAAGCAAAGAACGAATCAATCTCCAGACCCTAGCTAGTTTCGGTTGCTGTCCTTTCAAATAACTTTGATGTTCCATATTGAATTAATTTCACCATGACACGTTTGGTTGTTCTCAAAAAGGTCTCCATACAGTACCGACTTTCCCATCCACTGTAGCATAATTTTCACTAGGTTCGATCTTGTCATCCATACTGTTGTTTCATATTTTCCTTGGTAGAAAGGGGGTAGGAACCAGACAAGCGTGATCAAACTAAGACCTGTCATGAGGGTAGGAAACTCTTACCAGAGAACTCGTTCATGTAGGTTGCGTTGGACTTCCTCAATGGGACCTCAGAACTAATGTACGTGATTGATATGACTAAGTGTGGTGAACAGTGGCGCTCATGTATCGACTCAATGTCTCCACAAGTTTAATCTACCGGAGTTCCCCATCGTTATTTTAGCACTGCGTCTGGCATTATTGTTATTCCCTCTACTGTTTCGTTCAAAAAACAACAACCCAAACCACCACACGAAAGTGCAAAACTACCAGAATTATAATATTATTAAAATGAAGCAAAGTACATAAGTGCCAGATTAACTAAGAAGCCTCAGTATGGTTGGGGGTCGGTGTCTTGGGTTTTCGATGATCACTCTTCCCTTGCACCTCATGAAGTGGTTTTATGCAACCCAGGGTCTCAAATATCCTCTGTTGAGGAAGCCCTACTCCTTGCCTTCTCTTGGCAGAGATGTTTTCCTATCAAGGTGAGGGGATTAAAAGCTGATAAACGGGGCTATAACCGGGTTGCTGAACCACTGGCAGTTCACCCAGGGGAGTTGGGTAAAAACCCTGATTCCAAACCAACAAAGAGGAGGCGTGCAATCCACACGCGCACACACCTTCCTGGTTGTAACATTGGTCGCCGGTTCAATTGGACACCGAGGTATATTGGGCACTTCGGATGTTTGAATCCGTTCAAAGGGCGTATGATCGGATGATTGGATGAACTGTATGTATACTTGCCCCTAATGGATTACGTTTCTCACACCGCCGCGCTGCCTTGGTAGTCAGTCTTTGGCGAACAGAAGGCTCCAGTTGTGAATTCCCGAAGAAAATTCACTTTCGTTTTCTTCGCAACCTGGCAGTATTCCGCCCACAAGAAAATGATTAAACTTTTTTCTCTTTTTTTATAACGATTATTGTACTGTGATTTGTTTGGCACACAGTTTGAACAAAGAAATAACTCGCCAAGTTCCGTTCAGGTCCGTTCTCTAATCTAATAGGGCTTCTTCAGTGCCTCGTTAACCGGATTGACCAATTGTTCTAGACCAGCACGCCGACCAGTTTGTAACATGCATGGATTCACTCTAAGACCGTGGTTTCTAGGTCCAGTAACTGCACGCTGTAGTCTCAGTTTGCATATAAGATGCATCTACCTTTCCCTTCCTCACCATGTTGACGATCTTTTATAACAGATATGTACAACGACATTTAGGTTACCCTAACTGATCTGGGCACAACATCACTGGGAGAAATCAGGGCGCGTGTTGCTTTACGTGAAATCGACTGCTATTCACAGTAAATTGCGTTGGTTGGGATAAAATCGTTGGATAAAAAATTACATGCATACTGTCATTCGCCTTTTTGTTTGGGAGTTCATCTTCAACTTTAGTACATAGGAGTGGTGCTAGTTCGAGGAAAGAAGCAGGGCGATTCGTACAAATTACGAAACCTTTAAGCAGCTTCTTGTTGTTTTCAATATGCTTTACGACGTAAAGAACTGCCACTGCATTAAATGCTGTTCAAACCCACGTTTCTGCTAGAGTGACAA